TAAACGAAAAACCTTTTCTGAAATCCACTAAGCTTCATTACACTTTCCATGCTCTCGCAGCTCTGACTTTTAAATCTGCGGAAACCGCTGCTGTGCATCAAGGTTCACTCGGAATACTGTATTTCGAACCACATCCAGGCGCGTAAGGCTAGCTGTTCGTCTCAGAAAGCCCATTTCAGCCACTTGTACTTCGGATCAAAGTTTTTCAGTCATGGTCGACGACTCACGAACAGCAGGCTTGTTTCCCGCTGGAGTTGACATTCACAGAGAAAACTTTATTCACAAAGTTACGTTGCAGGGTACCAGTAGCTGAACAAGTGATAGGTATTAATATGTATGTTGCATGTTTTGCTTTGCTGCACTTTGTAATCCAATTTGCATAGGTTGCGTGAGTGACGGAGAACTACGGCCATTAGAACTTGTTCTGAAGTTGTTGTCTAGTTGATCTGAAATAACACATGGAAACTGATGGTACAATTAGATGCATATTCACAACAAAAGATGGTGTCAGGATGGTGAAATGAATGAAGAAAGTCAGACTTCGTTATTTTGTCTCATTCCTCCTGCTTCTGCCATTTAAATAAAAATCAAGAAGGCAAGTTAATGTTGTTTAGTCTCTATTTTACTTTCCATTTTCTGCTATAATTCTCAAAGTGTCACCTAATTTACTCACTTTTCTTACCCAAGATTATTCACCCATTGTGTTAAGGGTAGAGAATGAGATATAAAGATGGTAGCATCTATTCGTTGGTAATTACTATCGAGAGTGACTCTCATTTTCTGACCGGGTTTTTAATCAGATTGTCATTTGGTTAAGCAGAATTGACTTCAGATGCATTAAAGACTCTGTTGGCCCTCATATTAGAGTCTCGTAATTCATCTGTATTACAATTTATTTGAGTTTATCACCTCTCTACCTTAGCTGTTGTGATGCAGGACTGATCTCTCAACCGTCAGTACTGTGCCTTTAATCTTTCGTGCTGGCTCTTTCGTTGTATTAGCGACATTGAAATTGAATTATAGTAAGAAGAATGTAACAGATTGCAAGCGCAATTTTATGCTTTTTACAGCACGGCCCACATGATGCGTCATTTTGTCCATTTCAGGAGTTTATCTGTGAGCGCTGTCAATGCTTTCCGTTTATTCATCAACTGCTCTCATTCGATCATTATGTGAAGTTGTCGCCCTAATCCGTATTAGTGATTTTCAGGCAGGTTGCCATTCCCTTGGTTGACGTTGAAGACATCTTTCAGACCCCGCAGCAAGACGCCACTTAACTGGTCGACATGTTAAGACAGACCTTCAGCAATAACATGACCGCTCGTGAAAATACACTGTAGAGTTTACGCAGTGGCATCGAATTCGGTGCTTCAGTCGCATCACGTCGTCGTGAGGTGAATGCGAAGTTGGCATTGTTTCTCAACACCGCATACATTTTAGAGTAAGTATCTAAGAATGATGCTTAGTCGAACAACGGATCTTAGAAAGTACACTCTACCATTTTGTAGAAGAATTCCAATCGGTTTCCAAGAGTAAATTATTCAGGCCTGTGTTGCATGGCATCACGAAGTCACAGAATGCGTATCTAAGATATAACTACCATTCTGAGCACTTTCTCTAAGTAGTTCAACCTGACACGGACCTGATGCTAAAACTTTAATGCCAGTTTTATTACCCGTGTAATTGCTGTCAGCCTTTGAAAGCCGTATGTCTTAAACCTGTTCATTTTAGGACAGAAGTGCAATAAACAGTTTTATTAGTAATAAACCTGTTAAAGTAAATGTTGCTCTTCGTGATATATACTTTCGTTTTTTAGGGAAAGAAAAGCACTGAAAACTTTCGTTGCTTAGTCACTGGTTCTTAATAGGTTATTCGTGGCATAAGAAATTCATTCTGTACTTCGGTAAGGAAGATAGTTTGACTTTTTAGCCATCAGACTTCGGAAAACCGGCGGTTGATTGATCCAAAAGCAAAAACAGTTTTTTCGTGTCAGGGGCAAGGAACACCGAATTTTGCCTGTTTGCAATGCGCAAAAAGGGTGCTTCAGTGAGCATTAGATTTGACAATGAGTCGACGAATTGGTTGTTCCTAACTACTCAATTTAAGAAAGAGGTTTGACCCTCAGTTATCATTTTCAATTACACGTTTGTCCGTCGTAGATTTCAGTTTCTACGTCGACTTGGTGTTCAGGTGAATCAACGAATCGCCAAAAAATTAATTTTAACCGTCGTGCCGCGAAAGCCAGATGACGACCAGAAGAATTATGTGGCAAGACACTTGGAAATGCGGCATCTGAATTCTTTATTGAGGTAATATTCTAAAAACTCATTCACTATCTCTGAACTAGTCAGCTTGTAACGTAGAATGGAAAAAACAAAAATTTTTGTATTTTATTCACTAATTCGAAAGAGCAGCCAGCTAGTCTGTTCATGCCTCAGCAATAACAGCGTCAGTAACACATCACTTACATTCACAAACACTCTCTCGTCAGAACCTTTCATATTTTCACAGATATTGTGAGTTTCGTGTAGAGGTTTTGAATCAGATCTTCCATATGCTGCCTAAGAGATTTCTCATTGTCTCCTCAGTCGGTGGAGCATGTGATGCCTACATCTCACCTGCCTAGACATGCTCTCATGGCGCATTGCAACCATCATAAAAAGAAGCGTATCGTAATCGATTTTTGCGACTGGGTACCCTAGAAAATTAAGTACCTACCTTCAGCACATGTGTATTCACCGTTCATTTGATCGCAACGTGTTCACTGTGTTGAGTAAGCAGATGAACTTTGATTGATTGATTAATTGATTTAACGGAAATTCATTTCAGCCGCCTTCGAGGATGGTTGGGATCTCTCGGTTACGTCCTGAGACGTGCTATGACAAGAATCCAATTTTAAAGCGAAAACCTTTCTCCTGAAGTTCAGCTTTAGGTTCATCATAGTTCATTCAATCAGTCAATCAGTCAGTCACTCATTCGTTCGTTCGTTCATGCATTGATTCGTACGCCCATGCGTTTATACATTCATTTCATCATTCATTCGTTCAATCTTTCGTTGGTTATTTCGTTCGTTTGTTCATCCGTTCTTATTTCAATTTTTCGTTCACTGATTGATTCATTCATTCGACCACTTGTTTTCTCCTAAATTCATTTATCCATCAGTTCATTATTATTTTATTAATTTTTTTCATTCCTTTTCTTGATAATTCAATAATTCATTTATGCATTTTTTCGTGCATTCATTCCTTCACCCAGTACATTATTGTGCTATTCTTTAATTTGCTCACTCGTCCATTAGTTCACTATTCTATTTATTTAAACATGCTTTTTTGATTCATTTACATACCTAATTTGTCCATTCGCCGATTCGATAATTATTTCTTTCATTTACTATTGAAAAATTTCCAGTATTCGTCTTTCTAATTGTCCTCTCCTTCATTTGTTTTTCCATCTATAACTTACTTATCAGTTTTTTAATTTATTGAATAGTTCAAGTGATCATATCCTCATTCATACATTCATTCATTAATTAAGGCACACATGCGTTTATTCTTCATGAGAGGGCAATAATTTTTTCGTTGTTTTATTTTTCTATCCATCTAATTTATCCTTTCATTCATTCATTCAGTGATTGATTGATTCCTTCATTCGATCACCACTCATTTACGCCATCTCACATCTACCCATTTCATCCATTCGGTCATTCAATCACTGTCTCTTCAATTCGTTGAGTCACAATTTTATTATTTGACATTCCTTTGCCGTAGCCGTTTCATATGCTGGTTATCCAACGGCCCCAAACATTCTCCAATGTCACTTGTATATGGCTATTCGTTTCATTGAGGTTT